TTTGACTAAGTTGACGCGAATAAAAATAAATAAATAAATATGAATAATAGTAAATAATACTAGCAGCAAAGTTATTGGCAAAGGAAACAAGATTTATAAGAAAATAATTATTTACTGTATATAGATATTTGCTAAGAGACAGAATTGACACTTTTCCAGGCGGAAAATCAGATGATTTAAGCTATTTTAGTAGTATCAGTATTCTTACAGAACGACTAGGCCAACGTTTTAACCGAGTCACTCAGGTTATTAGAAATGTGACCCGACAATAATCTTGTAAATAGGTCGAATTTCTAGCGTAAGTAGTAATCAAACTCGAACGTATTCGTGAACTTTCAGATCAAATTTCAAACCTATAGTTGCAGACTTACGATATCAATTAGATATAAAAAACGGAGCCGATAACTAATGACTAAAGTTCATAACCAGGTTTGGATACGAGTTTTCAGTTTGAAAATCGAAACAAACTCAAAAGATTGATTGGTTCGTTAGGTGTAATATATTGATAACTAAAACTGATCTAAATTTTAAAGCTGTTTACCAAGCTTTATTATTAACCTATAAATAAGTTCCATATGTTTAAAATTATATTATTAGAACAGCTACTTGTCCATTTAGTATCTATAACTAGGTCAATACGCGGCATTTGTGCCCAGAGCATATTATATATATTTTTGTTTTTGACGCAAAACAAATCAAAATAAAGTAATGAATTAAAAACGTAACTATTACACACGTTCGACAGACACCAAATTTAAAGTTACGTTTTGATATTATTAATAGTAGATCATCAAAAACGAAACGTTTGTATCTCCTTACCTAATCATATAATGTCTGTCGTTATGCTCCGGACAATGAAGTCAATCTCTGTCAAGATTTTAAAAAACTCCCAAACTAGTATTTTTTTATAACACTGGGTTGTAGCTATAGTATAAAAGTTCTTGTCTTTTGATCGGATAAAGACAGATTATTCCAAGCACATAATTGTCACATGAATCGCACATGACAAAAGTTCTTTTAATAGTAACGAATATCGTATTAATGTTAATTATTACGCAGATTTCGCAGTATCATATTTGAGGATTCATTTCACCTTTTTGATATCTAACGTGTTACATGCACAAAGAACGTAATAGCATCAATAATAATTCCAAGATAACTTGGCACTATAATGCTATGGGAAATTACACAAGTTGGTAAATCATTAACACTCAGATTCTTGATATTTGGCATGCTATCTTGGCCATCTTGGCAATTATATTTATAAATACTATATATAGTGACGATCATGCAAAAACTCTCACAAAGACAATTATTCTTACATTTACAATGATATCCCACCTTCCAGTTGAAATAATTCTTCAAATATTTCAAATAATTTATTATTCCAAACCCAAAAATCGTCCTTATGAACAATATCAAACTCTTCGTTCATGTTTATTGGTTAACAGATTTTGGTGTATAAATGTCACATCAATCCTCTGGTCAAGAGTTTTTGCACCAGATTCACTAGTTCGTTTAGGAGCCATAAGTAAATACATTTCATGTTTAAATCCAGAAAAATTCCAGCTCCTTTTGGATGCTGGTATGAAATTTTCAAAACGTACAGAATATAATCAGCTTTTTGATTATCCTTCATTCTTAAAGGAATTACAATTCGATATATTTTTAAAAGATTTATCAGCTTGGTGCATTGAATATTATCGTTGTCGTAACCTCAAATTCCAGAATCTCGTATTAAGAACCTTATTAGAATTATTTTCTGAAAGAGGTGCCAAATTAGAAGTTTTTTATATGAAAAAAGTATACAAATGTGCATTTCCTTTTTATCATACAGATTTAAGATATCTGGATTTTAGTGTGTTAACATCCGTTAACGTTAAAGGAATATTTGCGAACTGTAAAAAAATGCGATTAGAAGGAGATGTATTGATGCTTAGTAATATTATAGAAATTTTTACAAAAATTTGTAATAATATCGAACATTTAACGCTCGATTCACCGAATATAGGACCTAGAATTTTACAAAATGAATTTTGTAACTTTATGGATCCGAAATCACACTCATTTTTAAATGATGAAATAGATAGAAAAAAGATTCTTTCTACAATTTTATCAAAATCATTTTCTGCTACTCAATCTAATGCACTTGTCAGTTTAATTACTTCTCAACGTAAACTTAAGATTTTGGTTTTAACTAATCAGTCAACAGTAAATTATTTGCCTTTTCATCACACAATTCAAATGATATAAAAAAAAAATAATCGATTTAGCTTATTCAATGCATTTTCTTTTTTATTATAAAGATAATTTCTTTTGAGCTTATTAATAAATAGTTATATAGTAGTTTATTATCAAGAAAAAAACAGATGCTTGATTCAACAATTCTAAAGTGAATACAGTAAACTCTCACAATAGTCACATGCTAAAATCAAATAATTTATAATGCCTATTGTGATATTCGATTGTGAGCAAAAATTCATATATAGTATATATAATACAGTAATAAAGGCAAAAAATTAAGTAAATGCATATGTTACTATCTGCTATTGTGAGAGTTTACTTATAATTGTTTTTTTTAAAACTTCATATACTTGTAGCAATGCCAACTTTTCTTTTTCTTCTACACCTATACAAACATATAATTGTAACAA